TATATATATATATATATATGTTCTCACTATATATGAGATACATTATGTGCTTAAGGTTGGGGGCTTCAAAGGTCTAGGACTTGGGTGGCCACAGGGTTTCGGGCTATGAGTCGGTGCTTCAAAGGTTTAGGTTTAGGACTTGGGTTATACTGGGTTTAGCGGTTTAGGGTTTAGGGTTAGGCCTATGAGAGTATGGGCCAGAAGAGTTCAGGGCTTTGGGGCTTGGCACCGGATTCAGTATAGGATTTGGGGCGCTCACGTGGCCAGGCAAGCTTTGCTTTGTTTGTAGACGCTATCCAGGCACATCAGGGAGTTCCTGCCTGAATAGATTCGGAGCGCCCGACAACAAGTTTGTGTGCAAGGCCTTGTGCATTCAGGCGTGGGTTCAGGCTTGAGGAGTTGAGATCAACGAAGCTTAGGCCGCAGGGGTAGGATTTACCCGTGTGTACCGAAGCCCTGCTGCCGCCACAGCATCCTGCCTGCTCCGGAGTGCCCTCAATCGTGGCACAGTGTCGTTCGAAGTTTTGGGCTCATGGGTTGGTCTTTTCGCCTCAGAAGGGGCCCTGCACTGGCTTTGGGGTATGCAAGGCTCTCACTGCGATCTACTCTTTCACTGCTTTGGGTCTGCACTTGGCGCCTTTGCACCTACAAGCCTCGCTAACAACTCAGTAGCAGAGCACTCGTCTTTTCATTCAGGGTTAGGGGTTCGCTTGGGTGTGATTTCCTACGATAGAATCTAAGCCCCAGGGGTCCTGGAGTCCTGAGCCCTTCAGGCCTAAAGCCACAGATGCTCTGAAATCTTCGCCTACGGTACCCTAAACCCTAGCCTAGCCTGGCCTGTAAGACTTCAAAAACCTAAACCTCTGAGACTTGGACTCAGAGCTACACGTGTTTGCAGAGGGCCAGCCTAAACCAGCCCTTAAGCTTTATACACCCTACAAACCCTAAAGCAAACAACCCTAAACTCCAAACCCCAAGCCCNNACCCCAAGCCCTAAACCCCAACCCCCAAGCCCTAAAACTCCAAAACCCAAGCCCTAAACTCGCCCTAAACCCTAAACCCCAGACTGAGCCGTTGCAGGTTATGGCTGGCCGGGCTACGGCTGGCCTCCGCCCGGCGCGCATCCAGGAGCGATGCCCCCGGCAACTTCTGGAGGCGTGGGTTCAGTATTTAGGTTTTAGGGTTCAGGGTTCAGCGTTTAATTAGGGTTTAGGGAAAGGGTTTAGGGTTTAGGGTTTAGGGTCGCCTGGGTTCAAAAAGGGTTCAGGGTTTCTGATGTATAGGGTTCAGGGTTCAGGGGTGTTGGAGGATGGAGGGGTGGTTGACACTGGCTAGTCTTGAGCCCGGTGGGATAAAGGGTCTTGGAGGATTTCTGTTTCTGCAGCGTTCCATCGACCCAGAACGGCTTATGCATCGACCCAGAGGGGCTTATAATCATGTTATTTATGTTCATCGGGTTTCAGTTAGGACTTGGGGAAATCGCGTTCGGCATTAGGGCTTTTGGACTGAGTTGGGTCTCCGGGTATTTTGGTAGGGTCGTTGGGGTTTCCGCAGTAGGAAATCCATCGCATGCTATTCGCCGACAAAACTTGTGCAGCAAGTGCCGTAAAGTTCGAACCTTATCGTCTCAGTGCCCCACATGCAGACCATGGGCGACATCAGCACGAAACATCCAGTTTCCTGGTTTTTGAGCAAAACCCTAAACCCGACGCCCCAACCAGAGGGGGTATTGCGGCCCCCCCTAAACCTAAACCCTAAACCCATTATTACGAAGCCTGTCCTGGCTGCGAGTGTCAGGGTCAACACCAGCCGTCAGTCCTAGGGACTTCGCGGCTAATATAGGGCTCTTAATAACTACCTATACTGTTGTGAGGGGGTCCTTGCTATAGTTATAGAGGAGTTTGACCCAAAACCCTATTCTAAGCATTAAGGCACTTACAGCAGGGTTGCAAATAAGGTAATGCCACAATCACTCATGGCCCCAATTATGCCGTACTACCCCAACTTGTTGAGTCTTCTAAGCCCCTGTAGAAAACCTGTAGAAACCCTATTAAGCATATTTAGCCTCACTTAATCTCAGGGTTTCATAATCCCCAAACCTCTGGTCCAAATCTCGTAGCGCCTTTTTTTTTTTGTGAAACCCTGGTAGTGCCCGCAAGAAGAGCCTTCTAAAGCAACCTTATAATCAATTTTCCAGAGGCCTCTATACTAGGCGAAAGGTGCCCACAAAAAGAGCCGTCTAAAGCAACCTTATTTTCAAAATTCCAGAGGCCTCTATACTAGCCTAAGAACCCAAGACCCACTTTTTTGTAGGTTCTGAATTTAAACCCTAAACGGGGATTTATAGGGACCCTACAAAAAAGTAGGTTTTGGGTTCTTAAGGTAGGCGAAAGCCACGGAACTTCAAACAGCAGCAGGCCGCCGCGAGCCCAGCAGGAGCCGGTCCAGCAGGTCTCCGGAGCCGGAAAAGGTCGGATTCAGGGTTTGGGGGTTTAGGGTTTAGGGATTTAGGGTTTAGGGGTTTCAGGGTTTCGGGGTTTGGGGGTTAGGGTTTAGGGGTTTGGTGTTTCAGTGGTTTGCAAGGGTGTTTGTGGTATCTAGTTACTTTCGTGTTTTGAGGAGTTCTGGGTATAGGGATTAGGGCTTCGGGCGAGCAGACGAGCAGTAGGATAAAGTGTATACCGTATACCGACGTATAGTTAATAAAACTTAAAGAGCCGCCGGCCTTATGGTGTCCTTATAAAGCGCCGGTTAGAAGGTCGTCAGTTTACACTTGGCCACCTTGTTATCTTGTCACGGGATCCAGACCTTGTTCCTAAGCATGCGCAGTCTTGGTTTCCTACAGGAGAAGGAGAAAGAAGATGTTGCCATCTTCTTGGATACTGGTGTGGAGGACCGCTTTGGGTTTCTTGAAAGTAGGCGGGTCCTTAGAACCATGATCTTGCATATACATATATATATATATATGGGAGTCGAACATCTAGTACAGTAACGGTGTTCCCGACGGGCTCCTATCATAAGTATATGAAAAATACAGAAAAACCAAGTTTTACTTCTTGATGCTCTGTGGTAGTGTTTTTCATGCTCTGAAACTGCTGGCTTCTTGAGGGTGCAGCAACTGCAGGAAGGCTTCAGATGTGTTCGAGGCAGATGACATGTAGACCCCGGGTGTACAAGCCCCTTACCTCAGATTACACTATGGTTTGTTATAGCAGTGCCAAGTTGGTTGCCCTCAAGCAAGAGGTTCATGAGTCAAGGATCTACCGTACCGTACCTGGCCCTCAAAGGATACTTATACCGCGCTAAGGGCCAACACTATATGTGCAGTTCTCCAAATTAGGGTCCCTTTTAGGTCCTTTTTATAAGGGTGCCGTACTATGTTGGGGACCCCAAAAAAACCCTAATTTAGAGAACTACCCATATAGTCGGTGCAGAAAGAGGAGGCTCCACCTGTGAAGGCGGCTGTGCTGCACTCACACTGTCTCAGCATATGATCACACGTCTTTTTACAGAAGTGCTAAGCCCTAAACCCTTGAACAATATCGGACGTCGTGAAGCCATGCCTGCCTTGCGCGAGGGGCTTTCTCTTCTTTCAAGCTTCTCACTCGAAGCAAGTGTGAGTCGAAACCCCTGAAGAGTCCTTGCGGAGTTGCGACTGCCAGCAAAAGAACCTTAGTGGCTGAGTAGGTAACCTTTACCTTTTGGGGCTCTTATAATCCTACTATAATTCAAAAGGTTAACCGTTCTTGGGCTAGGGTACTCAGCCCCTAAAGAACAGCTCTCGCGACTGCGCCGTCTCCCGTGCTGCAAGGACACCGTCGCCGTGCCAAAGTCTTTCATCGCCCGGGTCATTGGCAAGAAGGGTGCCACGATAGCCGAGGTGGCCTGTTCCACAGTTGGGTTCAGGGGCTCGAGTTTTACGGTTCAGGGTCTACGGCATAGGGTATCATATATGTAATTGGCTGAAGCTCCAAAGAGGGGAAGCCGTCTTCTATGGCCGATCTACATGCAAGCGTTTTTGCCAGAGGGGATCGGTGCTTCGATTATCTAAGCTGCGAGCCGAGTACCCGACATCGTTCTCATTTGGGTCGGGTTTTTTTCAGCAACCTCTATCAACCTCTTCGGAAGTTTGGTTGCAAAGTCGAAATCGGCAAAAAGGTTTGGGACAGTAATGCAGCTAAGTCATTGGGGAGGTTCTGATCAGTCGCTCGTTGGACCCTTCGGGAACTGTCCTTTTGGGTTTAGGGTTATGGTAGGGTTTAGGGTTCATTTGGTTCTCAGCAGGGGCCGTTACAGGCTGGATGCGAAAGGGCTTAATGTAGGGGCCATTTCTTCAAAACATCGCTTGAGGAGTGTATGATTATTGCGTACTGTACCTGGATGGACCCTGACGGTGTAGTCCCCTTGCGATCCGACTGCCGAGGTGCGGGCCAAGAGCGGCGCTTGGAAAGTGGATGCCAGGGACCAGAGCCACGCGGTGCATTCTTATCCCTGGGATTCTGGTATTTTATACTAATGTATAGTATGACGTGCTACGCAATATGTATATATATATATATAAGCATAATATAGTACATCACCCCTAGACCCGTAGGGTTTGGGCAGGTGAAGGTTCGGAAATCCTAGACCCTGAACCCCAAAACACGCCAAAGCCCCTAAAGGTCCTGTAGGGATGAAGGCTGACTAAGCCCAAAAGCATGCACCTGTTGACGCGGAGAGCTTGAGCTGTAAAGCTGCGCCACACAGACCTGGTGTAGAAGTCTGAATCTTCAGCCAATCCATATGTTCAAGCGTACTACAACCTCCCCCACAGAGCTGCGTGATGTTCTAGTCTAGAACCATAAATATTTTGGTAAGCCCCAAGCCTGCAGCCGAAGCAGAAAACTTCTGGATTGGCCCGGCAAGCAGTAAAACAGGGTTTGTGGCTTAGGGTTGTCGGTTTGGGGCTTTGGGTTCAGGGTGTTTCGGGTTGGGCTGCTCGTATTCATTTGTCCCCTGCTGTACAATGCCGTCTTAGGGTTTAGGGTATCGGACAAGCTGGTCTTGAAGAACTTCCAACCAAGGGAGTCCGAATCTAAACCCTTTGTCAACCCTGCAATCCGTGCTCGTCCATACGATACAAAAAGTAGCTGAACACTAGACCCAAGACCGTAGCCGTTTTGTTCCAAACCGTCAGAGATCTGCATCACTCCCGCTGCAGCTCAAGCGTGTTCAACTTCGCCGAGTTCAAGTCGGCGGAGGCACAGCAGCACAGGTTCAAAGAGTACGTGTGCGAGGTGTGAGCTGCGGTTCTCAGGAGCAAGGTGCGGTCTGCCGAGCAAAAGAGTGTCAGCGGGCTCCATGGGCAGCTTGCGCCGGTGCACTGCAGAAGTTCCATGCAAACCATTATAACTCACAGAAGACTGCACGTGCGGACGCCAGCAAATCAACATAAAAGAGCTCGCCTCGACTGGGCTGCATCTACTCTGCATGCTTTCTTGCGCCCAGACTTGTTTGCGCAGACCTGTGTGTTTCCGCGCCACATGCCGCAGCTCCGTGCTTCTCCAAGTTTCGCGCTGTGAAGTGGCAAGTGTACTGAAACGTGTGCCCGCGCCATGTCCGGGGACGATTGCCTCGCTGCACTCCTGCGGCCCATGAGGCCGGAGCACCTCGGAGCCGTGGTTCTGGCTTATCATCTATCCGACTTACCAGGACGTGGGCGCTTGGCTGCAAGCATTCTCCGAGGCCGTTTCAGCACAGACACCAAAAAGGCACAGGTCGCCGCCATGCCGGAGCGCTTGACCCGCGATTGGCCTCTCTTTCTCACGGCCGAGGCGACTTCCTTTACGACTGTGCAGGCGCTTGCAACACCGCAGAAAATCTGGAATTGCCCATGCCTTTGCAGAGCTGAATGTCATTGAGCCCTACACAGACCTCATTGAGAAGGCCCAGCAGACTTTGCGCAGATATACCGTGGGGCTCCCCACCCAAACGGCTACCTAAACGAGGAAGGCACAAAAGTCTGTGGCCTTAAGTCTTACATCTTGATCAACCAAAATGTGGGAAGCCCTTAGTTGACAGAGTTCATCAGCTGTAGGTGAACCTAGCAGATCAGTGTGGCAATGACAGCAGTCATGTCACAGTCATGTCATGTCAGACAGCAGCTCGCTCGTGTTGGGCACTGAGTTACATCACGTGGCTGAGGCTCGGGTTTCGGGGTCCGGGAGTACTGACGGCCCAAGGTTGCTTGCAAACTGCACGAGACGTTTCTCCATTTCTGTCTGCCTTCTCCAAGAACAAAAGGAAAACAGCGTGCCTGTGGATGCAGAGCATCCATATATCTGCACCGAATGGGATGGGCTGCTACACAAGTTATAACAGACGCAGATGACAAGCCAGACAATGAGAACATGTCTACTGGTTCCTTAATGCTGTCACAGGCGATCAGGATGACGAGCTATGTTTGTTGGACTATATGCGTCCTGGTTCTTTCTTTCGCTCGACTGGCATCGTGATACAACACTTATTTCCATGCAACTACAAGCAAGCCCAATGCAAGCTCGTTGTCGCTTGATAGACAAATCAGTGCATGACCTGGTTCTGGAGCTTATGCATGGACACGGGAACTCGCTGCTGATGATTTCTAAGCAGCAAGCCTACTGCAACAACGACGATAAAGCTGTATGACTATGCGCACGAGCTCCGTGTCATTTCGGCTGAAGTATTTGACCAAATCTGGAAAACTCAGTGCATGTTTTGGTTCTGAAGCTTATGCATCTGTGACCCAGGTTTGTCAGCTGCCTCCCCCCTTGTTCGGTTGGAAAGCTTTATTAGATGCATGTTTCGCTTGGTTGACAACCCAAAGGATGCATGTTGTTTAGTTTTACCGGCCACGACGGCGAATTGTCACCGAGGTATTTGCTGTTTGTTTTTTCAGTTGCTGTGCGTCAAGTCTCGTATTTCATTTGACGGCTGTGGGGGGTCGAATCTTGCTTCTCATCCCAGTGAATATCGTGTCGACTTCAGTACATGTCGAAAACTCTTAGAGCGCAGGCCCTAAACCTTACACCCGAAGCCGCAACTGCTTCGCAAAATACAATTCCTACTGTGAACCTTGTTTACAGCATTTAGGGCAGGTTCGGGTGTAGGCCCGGAGGGGTGAATTTCAACGGTTCCAAAACAGCGCAGTGCGCTGGCGGTTGTATCCGAATCCTATATAGTGATACTAGACGTGATTATTGGATCATAACCGAGCCAGCTATTGTGTAGGGTTGGGAGTTTCATGTAGGTGTTGGGCTTGGGACCGCCGAGTTTGTAAGGTGATTTTTTGCTGGATGCCCTTTACTTAGAGGGGCACTCTTGTGATGGTTTGCAGATAGGGTTGTAGGATACCGGAGCAGGACACCGGAAACTGATTATATAAGAACTTTTCCAGTGAGCTTTCCGGCATTAGATCCCACCGCATGAGGTACGGACCCTTGCCAAGTGAAGCTCCAGGGCACGCCGGAGGTCTGTGGAGAGTAGACCGAGACCTGGAACCAGAAACCTGAAATCCCCAAGGCATTTTACAAGGCTTGTGTATGGTACTGTAACCGGCTATGGCTTAGACTTTCGATTGTAGAGCATGTGTTGGATAGCAAAACAATTATTCTACGCATGGAATGGGGCTGCACTCGAGCGTTTGGGAATGTTCCGGGATCAGGCTACCTGGGAAGCCACGAATGAGCCCCTGTCATCCAAGACAATGAATGCTGTTCTGAGTTGTGCTGCGGAATGCCGCAAACTCTACCTTTCATGTCCTATCATACGGACCCTTTGAAGACTTCTTAGTTCCAAACGACCCCATGCGCATTGGTGGACGCATGCGGTATGGGGTTGGTTCGCTGGCCTGGCCGTACCGTTTGATTGAAACAGCTGCTGACTGGGATTCGGTCTTCGCGCAAACACACGTTATAACAGCTAGAGTCGGTTCCAAAGCGTTTAATTGTGCTTTTGACCCGAACACACAATCCACTTTACCCCAAAGAGCCCTAAAGCTGAAACTTTCAGCTTACCCGAAAATCCTAAAACCCCTTGGCCCCCGACTTAACCCCCCCTGTAACATAAGCCTAGACCACGAAATCCACATGGAAACCTTTATAGAAACTTACAGACCTATAATCGTGGCTCTTATAGTAGCCTTCTCAAGATCTTTACGTAAAGGAAGACCGTGGAATTCCTACCCGGGCTGCAGATTGCAGCCCTTGCTTTTGGCAGAGAGCCTCTACTTCATAGTTCGAAGTTAGGACCCAGAGCAAGAAACTACTTTAACTAGCCGAGAAAAGTTGCTGCACTCTCGGATCTTGGTACATCATCCCTAAACCTCCACCCTGCTTTCCCAGCCCTTTACCTTAAAGTGTAAACTGTAATCACCCGAGACCTTAAACCCTCTGCTGGCAAGGCCGTGAAGAAAGCTCGAGAGCTGATCCTGGAGCTTTGCCAGCAACGCACGATCGTGACACTTCAGGGCTTTTCCAAGCTTCAAGGTTTCATAAAGGGCTTGCGGATGTTTAGGGTTGAGGGTTTCATAAAGGTTTGGGGTTGTTTTTTTTCCTCCTCTCATCTTTCAGGCAAATTTCTTGGCATTGGCACAATAGGCAGACTATCTTCAAAGCGGGGTGGGCAGCGTCTCGCATCTGCGAGCCTCCGGACCTTAACTCCCAACCTTCATGCCGGCTTACATGACACCTGAACCTCAAACCCCAAGCCCGATTTCCTGAAACTACATCCGGTTTCCAAGATGACGTTGCTATTGCTGCCAAGGTTGGTTTTACCAGTGCAAAAGTGTAGTAGTCTACTGTCCCGAGAAATCCTGCATTCCATGGGACGATGCGTTACCTGAGCTTCCTCTCTGTAGGGTTCCCCTACTCGCCATCTCAGCCCTCACCACACGTCGCAGAATCCCCTGGCTAGGAAAGCCCACACAACATCACGGCTTCTTCCGGCTAGGCCCTGCAAGCCTTGTATCAGGTTCTGCAGTAGCCTACTGCCGTTAGTATGGCAACCTATGGGATAGTGTAGTTGATGCTTGCGAGTTCCTAGGCTTCAATGGAGCTTCCATGCCCCGAACCTACAGTGCACAGTCGATCTTAGCGGAGAGGGAGAGGAGCCTCGAACGAAACAGCTTCAATACAAAAAATCTTAAATCTGCAGGAGCCAACACACTCACCCCAACCCCTAAACCCGAAGCCCTTAAGACTCTCAAAAAGCAAAGAGCTGCCAGCATCCAAGTTCGAACTCCAGACCCTATAAGCCCTAAGCCCTGAATCCACATTGCGCCTGCACTAAAGGCTTGAGGAGCTACTCATACTCTACACCTCTACCTGGACCCCGAAAGTATATAGAATACTAGCCTTTTAGAGGTTTTGGGCCGTAATTCTAGACCCTAGGCTGGGAACCCTGAACCGGCAAGTAAGCCATAAGCCGCATTTTGAGAGGCAGAGAGGAGAGAAGCAGCTCTCCTTATGCATGCCATTACAAAACGACTCTTGCAAACCGGATACTTGGGATCTTCAGGAGTTGCTCAGACAAGGAAGCTACTAAATCCCAGACTTCCAACCCTACGGCGACAGTTATTGCGATGCAAAAAGAGGCCGTGGAGTTGACGAAAAAAAGCGTCGACTAACAGTAGGGCCCTGATAACGAAACCCAGAGGGTTGGGTCGGTAACAGGGGCAATCAGAGTGGAACTCTAGCCAAAACCCAAATTTCCTGAACCCTAGACCCTAGACCTATCCAGGAGTTGAAGAAATCCACAAAGCCCCAGACTCTACAACCAAAAACCTAAGTAGGGGTTGAAGACTTTCAGAAGCCGAGGAGTTGCTGAATGCCTAAAACACGAGACCTTACACCCCTTAAACTAAAAAGGCCAAAACCCGAAGAAGCCGAGGAGTTGCTGAATCCCCGAAGCCCGAAACCTTAAACCCCAAAGCCCTGAACCCTAAACCCAAAACCCCTAAATCCCAAACCCTAAAGCCCTGAACCCGAAGAAGCCGAGGAGTTGCTGAAACCCCTCCGGGAGAAGCACTCGGACTCAGAGTTCGTGGACATCTCCCAGGGCCAGATCGGCAAGGCCGCTTGAGGGTTTAGGGTTTACGGTTTAGGTTTAGGGTCTTATAGTTTAGGGTTTAGGGTTTATAGGGTGCTTTGGTTTAACCTCGGTTTTGGGCTTATTGAAAGCTTATTGTGCATAGGTTCGGCAGCAGGTGGGAAGAGTTTTTCAGTTTATTGGGTTTTTGCGGCATAGCGAGAAGTTTAGGGGAGTTTCCGGGGCTTGATAGAGGTGTTCAGGGTCTGTCACTTGTATCTGCAGCTCTACGAGAGTTTTGCCCGCATTCTTTTTGGGCTGTACGGATGCTTCAGGGTCTACCCATAGGCCCCATAGTAGTTCTTTTTTGGGATTACCTTGTAGGATCCTAAGTACAATTTCACAAATTCAATAAATCAGGATAGGAAAACTCTCCCGGTCCAAGACTGACCTTACCCGGACCTCGTCTGCGAATACCGCCCCCGTGTCGCTCGCCGTACATAGCCCTTAGCCGCAGCCTTAACCCAATACCTCCAAGTCTCCAGACTAGATACTGTAGACCCCAAGCTCGCAAACACCCGTACCGTGAAGGGCCTTGGAGGAACCCCGGAAGTAACACGTATAGGAACTTCCATGGGAACCCTAATGTGAGGAGCCCTTAAAAACGAACCCGAAGAATAATTAGGCACTCTTGGCTCTTCGTAATTCTTATGGAGACCCTTATAGGCCTCATTGGGTTTAAAGGTACGCATTTTTCCTGGAGCCCTGGAACCTTGTTTGTTTGGCGTTGTGGTCATCCGAGCAGGAACTCGCATAGGCACCCTTAACGCTTTCTACCCGAAACGCTATCAACCCTAAACCCCAAGGAACCCTAAATCGCCCAAACCCAACAGAAACCCAAGCCCTAAAGAAACCCATATGATAGGCGACATCTTCGCAGGTCATCGGCCTAAAAGGTGCTCGCGTGCACGAGCTCGAGGTGAGAGTGGGAGCTGATCGTTCCACGGGGGGTCATTGAAAGTATACTAAAAAAGGGTTCCTCTTGGGGTACCATAGAGGTTTAGGTTACGGGGTCTTGTAAACGTTTTAATTCTTAGGGACTCTTTTGGGCTCCCTGTAGGTACGGAGCGTCAGCACCAGCACGAGGTTCTCAAACCAGCAGCACACGAAGACCCCACGTGTTGTCAGGAGTTGTATGGAGGTTAGACAGTTTTATGGGTTCGTAACTAAGGGGTCTTACAGGTCTCGAGGCTTAGACCCTGGCTGGTAGCAGCCTCTTTGCTGATGAGCTTCCTGATTTGCAGCATTCCAAAAGATCCAATAAAAGAAGGGCAGCGGATCCGTGCCAGAAGGCCTGAAACGCTAAGCCCGAATCCCGAGCCACGGTCACGGCTAGATGCCTATACCTTCAAATCCCGCAGCTACCTAGATTCTACGATGTAGAGTCTGACAACGTGTCATGTTGTTCGATTGCTTGGCTATCTTATGTTCTCATTGTTTAGCTTTGGGATATCAGGTAGTCTTTCGAGAAGATGCATTACAACTTATAGGGTTTGGTAGGCGCGCAGTCCGAGCCTTACATTACCAACTCTGACACCAGGAAGCGCTTCCCACGTCAGAAGTCCCTAAAACCCGAAGCCATATAGCCTAGTTTAATCACCTGCGAGGTTTGATCTCTGCTATGTGAGAGGGAAAACTTAATCGCCTGCACTTGAAGCTTTAACACCGAACTAAATGAGCCCAGAATCTCCAATCGTAAACCCTAAACCGCGAACTCTGCACCCTAAACCTTTAAGTTAATCGACCCCTACAAACCCTAAACAGGCCCTGAATCCCGGCCATTAAATGGAGAGGCGCAGACGGGCGCAAAGATCGACATCGACTACAACCGGGAGCCGCTACTTGCATCCTTATAGGCTTTGGGGTTTAGGGTTTAGGGTTTAGGGTTTTGCGGATCGACTCCAGCCGAAGTACGAAGCCTGTTGCAAAAAAGGGCTTTGGGGATGTTTGGGGTTCAGGGTTCGGGGATGTTTGGGGTTTAGGGTGTAGGGTTTGTCGGGCTTTAGGGTTGTAACATGTAGGGTGTGGGTTTGGTAGGGCTTGCAGGATTTAGGGTTAATAGGGCTTGAGCAGTTAGGGTATGGAGGTGTAAGGGTTAGGCTTTAGGGTTGAGGGATTGGGCCCTTGTAGGCCATCTTTTAAATTTTGTGCAGGGATCGGACACTCAAGGTTAGGGCTTGGGCTTGGCTTGTTGAGACGAATTGGGTGGTGCGTTTCGGGTTTGGGCTTATGCGACATTTGAGGGTTAAGGACGTACCTGCAGCCCGGAAACCCACTTTCTTTTCATGGCATACATGTACACACAAACACACAATCTCTCCCCTTCGAGCGGCAGCACACGTTGTTGTTTGGCTTTTCTTTTTTTACATGATCCAAATTTCAGTGTCTAAAGGGTGTGGGAACCCGATGAGGCTGACGGGATAGTAGGAAATCGGATGCTGTCGGGTCGAAGTTCTTGGGCTTGATGTCTTTGGGCATGGGGTTGTCAAGCTTCGAGAGGTTGAGGCATAGAGAGGGCATGTACAACAGATTCTCATGTGGCTCCACAGTCTCGGCTTTTGGGTTTGAGGCCCGAAATTTCTTGGCCACCTCTAGGGTCGGTAGACTATGGGCGGTTTGAGAAGCGATCGGCCTTTCTGTGAGGTGCAGGGTTTACCTTACGGGCAATCCCGACAACGTCCAGACGGCGAAGCAGCTGCTGACATCTATTGCCAACGACACGCTCGGGGCGTAACGGGGTGTAGCTTTCCACTGCTTTTCCACGTCAGTGTTGTGTCTGCCGACCTGAAGCGGTTGAGGGTTGAGGCTTATGTAGATGCCTAAATAACTTCTAACATTATTCTGGGGTTCCTAAGTATATATCATTATACTAGGAAAGAGCGCAAAACCCTATTCTTACTATTAATTAAGGCCCCTACCTTAGGGACCTACAGCTTTGGTCTGCAAGCTGCTTCAGGGCTTCAACGTCGGAGGACCTGTGAAACAAGCTGGTAAGAAGAATTGTGCATGGTGACAAGGTGCCTATCATGTGGCTTCTCAGTAGACATAAACAAGCTGAAAACGCTCTTGTGGGACAAAAGCGGCTGAGGGTGTAGGGCCCAATGCGTGGATAACCTACAAACATTGCACTGTAGAGCATTTGCCAACCGAGCAGAGACTACAGACCCTGCAAGTGTAGGTCGTGCAGACCACGAACCCTAACCCTGTGTACCTCAAGTACGATAGAGAAGCCTGAAGAACTAGTCATACCATGTTAAGTATCAAGAAGTTACCCTAACCCTTACTCTAATCACTAAGGCCCCGAAATTAGGACAGCTTGGCAAGAGAAGCTCCGAAGCGTGGACAGAGCACAGCGCTGCCTATACAACGGAGACCAGAAATGATCGACGCTGATTGAGTTTAAAGTGTTAGGGCTTTAGGGCTTTAGGGCTTTAGGGCTGTAGGGCCTTTTTTTGAACTGTAGGGTGCGAGAGTTCCGGGCTTGGGGATGATGACACCTTTGTGGCTTGGGATAGAGGCATCAGGCAACATATAGCTCAGGCTTCAAGTCGTTTCGGATGGGTATTCGGCATTCAGGCCTTCAAGGGTTCAGGTTCGCGGTTTAGGGTTTAGGGTTTGGGGTTCAGGGTTGGGTCACGAGTACAGTACTAGCCGGCGGACGAGTGGCTAACTACCAGGCGTTCTTGCTTGCAAGCCTGCAGCAAAGGGGTTGGGTTGAGTGTTTAGGGGAGGGCTTTCGGCGTTATCATTGGCTGGTCGTGTTCAGGATTTAGAGCGCTGCCTACCACAGAGTCTTTTTTTGGGGGAGTCATGTCAGCTGTATGCCCCGAGTGTCGAGCGCTGGGTGTTGATTATATATGATATTGAAAGAGCCGTAAAAACCTGAATAGGCATGGTAGAATATATGCCATGTTTTTGTAGAGGACGTATTTCACATGTTCCGGATTAAACACCACCCGGACACTACCGGAGAGCCCAACACAGACCGAGAGCGCTTAGACCCTCGATCCTGAGATCTACACCGAAACCTCGACCCTACAGTAGAAGCCCAAAAGTTGGAATCCCAATAGCCTCAATCCTTAAGAGTAATATATAGGGAATCCCAGCACTATTTGTCCTTAATCCGGTTTCCAACTTTTTGGGGTTTCCTGTAACTTGATTTCTAATTCTCCCGCTTCTGTAAGGACCCCGTGTGAATTCACAGCTGGCATGCTATCCGAGCCACACGGTACGTAGCTTGCGGCAGGGTAAGGTAAGTCCCGCTCAGGAAACGCACAACCCTCTTCTGTCAAAGTTGATAATGTAATAAGCGCCATGTGTTACTCCCGATATAGATCCGTAAAAAAACTTAAGAGAGGCCCAGAAAAGCCTCGTACACAAGCTCTTACGAACAATATGTATAACCCATAGAGTACCCTTCGTCAAAACAGCACGAGAGTCTTCACGAACCATCTACGACCATGTACAACTCTGACACAACCTATGGAAAGCATATATTTAATACCAGTTGAAGCTTGTGCGAGTGACGTGAAAACTCTGAAATCAATCAACAGGCTTTGTTCTGGTCTCCTCATCACTGGCGAAGCCAGCATTGTCCTAGATCAAGCACCGGGCGATGAAAAAACATGCGTGCAGACATTTCCCCTCGTTTTCTCGAGCGGCCTTCATTATTAAGATTGGGTTTGAGGGTAATACTGCCTTGGGCATCTCGCCACGAGTGCGAT